CGTTTTGGCTTCTTACTTCTCTCACTGGGACACGAACAGGATCATACGGACTGGGGCGATTACGTATGGACAAGTACTGGAGCGACAGGGGGCGGGGAGAGAACTGATGCATGCGGACAGGAGGCTCCTTCCCAACGCCAACGCGTATCCGAGGCTCAGGCGGAGAAGGTGCGAGCCACGGACTCGGTGTTCGCGGCCAGGGCGGTTTCGACCAAGGGAACCGGCGACGGAGCCTCGCGGAACGTAGATGGGCCAGCAGAGGAGGCGGCGTTGGCGGTGGCATCGCGCGTCAGGGCGGCGAGGCCCGCATCGGAGCGGACGATCGCCTGGTCCAAAAAGCTGCGCGACTGCTGCAAGAAGCCGGCGAGACCGGCAGTAGCGCCGGCGGTCATGGCGCCGTACACTTCGGCCCGCGCTTTGAAGAGGATCTGCGTCTGAAGCAGCGCGCGAAAAGCGACCGCTTCGTCCTTCGAGAGGCCAGGGAGCATGGACTGCGGATTGACCCGTTCATCGGACAAGGACTGGCGGAACCCACGTGTAAACTCGCGACGGAAGCACTCGACCTCGTAGTCGACGTAGCCGAGGAAACTGGCTTCGGTGATAGGCCAGTAGGGGCGAGGGTCCTCGGCGGAAGGCGAGGGCACGAAAGGACCGTCGGCGGGGGTGTCGTCCGAAGGCTCTTGGAGGGGCTCGAAACCCTGCGGAAGCAAAAGCGGGAAGTGCTTAGCGAAGTCGCGATACAGGGGAGACAGGTAGATCGCGCGTACCGCTTTCAGCCGCTTGTGGGTACCTAAGTCCCGGCCGCTCATCTCGCCGAGGGGAGCGACCGAGGTCGAAGGGAGGTCAGGCACAGCGCCGTTAGCGGCAGGGGCTAGCGCGGGATCAGCACGAAGGAGACGTCTTGCGCGACGGCGCGAGAGGGGAGGCCGACCTTGCTTCGATAAAGGCGGGGAGCCTGCGAGGCCGATGGCGAACCCGGAGTCCTGGAAGGCGGGCGAGACACTACGGTCAGGCGCGGTCGCGGTGGCGTCCTGGGGTGTCGGGGCCGACACAGGAGCCTCTTGGGGAGCCTTGGGAACCGCGGTGGCGACGGACGGCGAACGAGCAGCTGGCGGCTGCGGTAGGATCCTCGAAGGAAGCGTCTGCCATGTCCGCGTCCAGGGGCTCGTTGTCCGCGGACGGAACCGGTTCCTCGTCGACGTAATCATCGTCGGAGGACTCGGAGTCGGCGGGCGCGCCGCCCTCTGCATCCTCCTCCTCCTCAGCCAAGGATCCGATAGGCTCCGGTGTGGTGTGGGCCGATTCGCTGGAGAGGAGCGGCGGGAGCGGATGGGTGGGCGGAAAACCCAGTTCCTCGGTGAGGAGGTCGATCACCCAGGACGGGATCAGGTAGGGAGCGTTGCGAACGTGGCAGATTTCGAAGACTTCGCGCGCGATTGGGGGCGCCGCTGGGGAAAAGGGCAGAAGATCAGTACTGGCAACGGAGGACGCGGTGGGCGGAGACCATACCGTAGGTGAAGTCGTTCTCCCGGTACCAGTCCACGTACCCCACGCGTTGGATCGACGCCCTATCGCCCGCCGCCTTGACCGCTTTCACCAGGTTGCAAGACTGGCGTTGATACCAGCAGCGGTCACAGCGGTCGAGGCCTTCGCGCATAATGCATTTCATGGGGGTGCCATCGGGGTCGTGTCCGCGACATCCAGTGCACTAGGAAAAAGAAGAGGATCAGTACGGAGACGAGGAGCCAAGTTGCGAAGGCCGCGCTACGTACGCGTTCCATCTTCTTGGCCGGAATTCGCGCACCGCGCGGGTACACCGGGGGCGAAAAGAGAGGGAGGCCAGAGCGGTGCGCCCGTGGACCGCGTGCCTCGCCAGCCGCCGTCTTCTTGCTAGGGCGGCGGCTGCCAGCCGTCTTCTCGACAGGGACCGCCTTCGACGACGATACCCGCTTGGAGGACGACGCGACGGGCTGGCCCTCCCCCTCGGACTCAGAACCGGACGGCTCGCTGGCCTTCGCCTTCCCCTTCTCCTGGTGTTTGCCTTTATTTTTCGGCAGTGGGCGCGGTGTCGAGGGTGAGGACGAAGCGACGGTGTTCGCGCGGGCGGTTTGGCGGCGACGCCCTCGCCTCGGCTGTTTAGCCGGCGGCGCTGCAGAATCAGGCGTCGCAGAACGACGCGGACGCTTGGTGGACGCTTTGTCTGTGGCAGCGGGGCTTCGCGCGCGGATACGCGCGGAGACGCGGGTCGGCGCGGGGGCGGGTGGCGGAGGTGCAGCTTGCACGACAGGGGCGACAGGTGCGGTAATCGAGCCGAGGACCGACGAAGGAGCCGTCGCGCGTTCCCAAGCCCTAACGAACTGTTGGTGGATCCACGGATAGTCGGGGGCGTGCTCGGTGGGCGGGTCACCCATTCCCGCTGCGAAGTCCGCGAAGTGGCGGTAGAGGGCGTCCGCGAGGCGGCGGACAGTGGCGGGGCGCTCGGTCAGGCGCACGAGCTCATCCTAGAACACGCGTTAGCAGCTGCGCCACGGTTGGGAAAGGGCACAGTACTCACCAGCCGCGTGAGGGCTTCGCGCGCCTTGGCCTCAACCTCCTCATCGGTAGCCTCCGACGAGATAGCGGTTCCGCACTCTACCTCAACCGCGGAGCGAAGTTGCTCCCGGCGTTGGTCATTTGACAACGTAGGCGGGAAGGGCGCAGATGACATGGGGGGAGAGGCTGGTCAGAGGGGCGGTGGGAGACGAAGAGAACGGCGGGCAGGAGAGAGAGAGAGGGAGAGGCGGCTCCTCGTAGCAGGCCACCCCGGGGTCCCAAGCGCCCAAGAAGAAGCGCGATCGAAGGCGGGCGCAGGGTCGCGGAAGCAAACGACGGGCGGGTACCGACCAGTTGGTTTCGCGAAGCTTCGAAGCGACGGCCGGCAGCTGCCGAGGCCTTCCCTCCCCCCCGGTCGGATCACCACCCAGAGATGGGGCAGGGGACACGTGTTACGGCTAAGGGTGTGCTGCGACGTTTCCGCTCGTGAAAGGACGAGCAGGCGACGGCAATCCGACAACGCGAGTTCGGCGCGGCGGAGCGAGGCCACCAGCCGAGGCACCAAGACGGCGCAGTCGCGCAAAAAACGGCGTGTCAGGGCGACGGAGGACGTCTCTCCTACCCTGTAGTCTCCGGGTCTTCCGCACCGAGGCGCCGCGGACGGTCCATGACATACCCAAAGGTAGCGGAGGGCGAGACCGGTACCTCGCGCACGTCTCGGAGACCGCGAGAAGTTGCCAGTCCCGCGCGAGGTCTCCGGCAGGACCTCCTTCCGGATCTGCAGAGGACGCACAGCCACCGCCGCCGATCCTGCTTCGGCCTGCGGCTGCGGAAGAACACTCGCGGACTCTATAGGACGCGGCACGGGTGGCACCTGTCAATTACACGGAGGGCTCGTCTGTATACGGCATTATCCCTGGTACCACGTCGCCTACGCTCTCCCTTCCTACGGCCCGGCGCCCCCGGCGGTGGCAGAAACGAGCAGAAGTGCGGAAGCTACAGAGGGACATCATCTACGTAGGACTCTACGGGAAGGCTATCGAGTACGCGTTCGGCGGAGGGCGGCGTCGACAAACCGGGGAGGCCGATGAACTCCTCGATACTGGCCTGCGCGGCGCGGGCCTCCTCGATAGCCTCCTGGTTTGCGGTGTGGATGTCCCGGAGTTCGCGGGCGCGGGTGAGGAGTGACCCCGCGGTTTGTAGCAGTGGTGTCACTGGGAAGATGCGGGAAGCTTGGGTGAGGGTACTGAGGAGGTCAACGAGGCGGCCGCGACAGGCCTCGAGGCGAAGACGATCG